TTTAATCTTCCTGGGGCGAGCTCGGCCGGGATCACGTGCTCAGGTCAAATGGCAAGGTCACATGTCATATCCTCGACTGCAATTTTTATTGGCAGTAGAAAGTGTGGACGAAGGAACGAAAGGAAGAGTGAGCGAATTACTAAGCGAAGCATCAAGGCTTCTGTCTGCCAGCACCTCTTCTAATGCTGCTTCAAATTCCACTTGTCCAGCTGCGATACCGCAGGCGACAATCAACGAAACTCTCAGGCGTGCTCAGGGGATGCCGAGCGAAATAGACTGTTCATAGCCCCCTATTTTTCCGTGAGATAGCGGTTATGATATAGCGTGTCTTACAGTTAATGGCGGCCATCTTGATTTTCAAATGACCGAGTGGGCGGACATAGGATATCATGTATACATGTAGCTCTAGGGGGAGGGGGGCGAGAAAAATAGAGGGCCTGTAATAACATCACTGCAGCTCGCGTTCACGGAGTGCGTTGTACCAGCAACCCAGGCGTTTGATTGGTAATTAGACAATAGATGTTAATTTGCGTCAAGTGACAACGGGCTTAGTTTAAGCCGCCGACACTGACAAGGCTTTGACAAGTCGTCGTTTCTATAAAACGTACACTTTCATAATAGCATAAGGCACATCTTGCGCAAAGAGGAATTTAGGCATTTTGCGGATGAATCACATAAGCCAACATGCTTTTGAAGCAGCTCGGCCAGGGGAATGTTGTAACACCGTTTCTCCTAATTTATAAATGAATTGAAATTTAACGCTACGCCGACACAAGAAAGAGTACCTGTCAGAAATGCTTGGCCTTTTATCGGGAGATTTGACCGTTTTAATTTGTGGTATGTCGCAGAAACTGTATAAAATCACTATTTCGAAAGGAGATATTTGTAAACACGCGAAATCAATGCTAAATGTGTCTGGCATGTTTTTCATTGCCAGCAGAGTTTCTTAATGAATGAATGGTAAAAGGCGTAAAATTCCTGTCATGCCTCCTGAAGGCGAGCTGCAGTGATGTTATTACAGTCCCTCTATTTTTCTCGCTTCCTCCCAAACCTTCCTTCCTGTAGTTTTGACACTCATCCAAGATGACAACCCGTAACGCATAGCGCTCGATCTCGACGATCTTACGGGAAAATAGGGGACTGTGAACAATCTATGAGTTCATCCACCGGTCTCTGGAGAAGATTAGGGAATTTAAGATAGCTTTCTACCGTAGACTGGGACGGTTGGATGCTTTACGGGCGGCCTGGCCCATGACGGTAAGAAGGCGCGAAAATTTGCAATTTAAGATCGAACAACAAAACAGAGGATGGTGAAGTCATATGCGAAACTCGCATGTAACTTCTTTCGCAGAAGGCTCAATTACTGAAGAAGAGTTTCTTATTTAAAACAAAGAATACCAATCAGAAGAATAAGGGTACAAATTAAAGCTAGCTAGTTTTCAAAACTAGTCGATGGTTTTTGTGGTATCGCAGCTGGACGAGTGGAATTTGAAGCAGCATTAGAAGAGGTGCTGGAAGGCAGAAGCCTTGATGCTTCGCTTAGTAATTCGTTCACTCTTCCTTTCGTTCCTTCGTCCACACTTTCTACTGCAGATAAAATGGCAGCCGAGGATACGACATGTGACCTTGCCATTTGACCTGAGCACGTGATCCCGGCCGAGCTCGCCCCAGGAAGATTAAATGAATTTTACTTTCGCAGTTTAAATATAATTTACATTTGTAAGTTTAAAAGAAATTTGTTAACGTTTCAATTTAAAGGATTAAGTTAGAATTCAGCTGTTTAAAAGACGTTTTTCAGTAAATTTTAAATGAGAATTCCAAAGTTTAAATTTAAATGGATAGAATGAATTAAATGAAAATGTCAAAGTTTAAACCATAACTTAATCGAAGATTAAATGGATTTCCGTAAGAAGTTTAAATGAAATTTCCAAAGGATTAAATGAAACTCTTTTAAATTTAAATAAATTTTAGATGCGAGGTTTAAATTTAAAAGAAATCATGTCCAAATCAAATATGAATCAACAGGGATTAAATATTGCTACATATGGGCAGGCATAATTAAGAGGAAGAACATTAGAAAATTTAAACAAAGGTACAGCGTGGAACCTAAAGGGTTTGAAATGAATCAATCGAAGGGCACGTTTTTGAAGAATCAAAGTTTTCTCCAAATTTGTAGAAGCATCTTGGCCCCAGACGGCTATACTATAGGACAAGTAAGGTTGGACAAATGCCTTAGTCTTGCAAGGATGTCTAATCTTACCGGCGTAAAGCAGAATTCACGGATGATGTACACCCGCGAGTAGCCTGCATTACAGACGTAATCTGACGCCAGTTAGTAACGTCTGCGAAGCAGCGCCGATATCCTTGTTCTGGGCCCCCAACGGACTTATCGAATTACAGGAAGTGCCCTTTGAATTTCACTTTAACCTGATTGGCCAATTGAACAATGGCTTGTTTTAACAGGCCAATCATGGCGGGTACTCAAATCCTGTTACACAGCTGGCATGGGATCCGGCACAAGGATTTCGGCGCTGGCTTGCACAGCGACTTGACCAGGGGTCAATTTAATAAAACTAAAACAAGTTTAATTTACAATATTGTAACCTTTTTTTCACACTCTTGAGCAATGGCTGCATTTGTAAATTACCCCCTAAGGTTAAGCTTCGCTTGTTGCCCAGGCTAACTTGCGTGAACAAGCATACACTGTAGTTACTGCTTATTAAATATCATGTCTCGCAGCATTCCTCATTGCCGGCTCTCGTCGAAGATACGGATGCTCCATAGTCCATTCCATATTCTGTTTTCTTATCTTATCCGTTGCTATATTCTATTTCTTTGCGGGTGTTGTAGAAGGCCTAAATGTGATAAACGACCCTAAATGTAATAACAATTTGCCCTAAATGTAATAAACTCTTAAGTTGCCAGTTACAGTAATTACTCGAATAAGTGCCGCCCTCAAATTAGCGCCGCATTTGGGGGGGGGGGGGTAATTAGCGCCACGGTGCTTATTCGTGCAAATACGGTACTAAGCGGTATTACTATGGTATAAAGCACCGCTCTCAAATAAGCGCCGCATTTTTGGAGAAAAAATTAATAAGCACTGCGGCGCTAATTCGCGTAAATCCTGTACACTATGCACTGTGAAACTTAACGACAAAGTAACAGTATTTTTCTAAAAAAGCAATATTTAAGCAACTGGAAAACTTTTTTCCTGTGTTTGCATAGCCTGATATAAACACTCGAGGGTTTTGGAGAATTCGGGACAGTTATGCAAACTCTCGACTTCGTCTCGGGTTTGCAAAAAGTTTTCTATTGCTTTTATAACTTTCCCGAGAGAAAAGAAAAACTCTTTGTTCAGGTTACTGATTAACAGAGAAATTCTAACCAGTCGCGAAGTCTTGTATACGAAGCTTAATGTACGTGTAATCAGTTCTTGTTTTGCAATAAAGATGCTTTGCAAAAAAGGGTTTTTCTCCCTTAAAATGTCAGCTTAAGCGTAGAAACATTGGCACAGCATGTTTGTAAAGATTTTCCAAGTTTCATCCGACGAGGGAATGGGTAAATAAAGTAAATTTGTCGAGTTTTCAACTCAAAAACATTTTAAAATTCGTGCTTGTGTGATTAGCGCGCGAAGAGCAAAACATCTTGACTCCACACATGTTTACATACTCTCATGCAAACACATCTGTCGGCCAATCAGAGCGCGCGCGTACGTTGTTATCAGCTGTGCAGTAGTCTTTAGGGCCTGTTTACATGGAGGTGGGGGACCCCAGATGGGTGACGTAACATGCGGCAGCTCACCCCACCTATCGTGTAAACGTGATCAAATCAAAATGAGAGATTATGTGGACAGGCGCGTTACCCACCAAAGCGGGTTCCCTCACCTACCTTGGGTCCCCCACCTCCGTGTAAACAGGCCCTTAGACTTCTCGTTTTTTTTGTTCTTAACATTTTAGCTGATTAGATCTCTCTTCTAGAGATGCAACGTTGACAAGCAACAGGATCTTCGTCCACGGTTTTTGCAGTAAATTTCTTTGACTAAAATGAAGTATGAAAAACTTTCTAAGGCTTACAAGTTTTTTTTTTTATTATTTTGTCCCTTTACAAGCAATTTATTTGTAAACGTCAAGTTACACAGCGGGCCTAAGGAAATGTACCGAAGCTTATTAAATTTTTTCTCCAAAAATCTGGCGCTTATTTGAGGGCGGAGCTTAAAACCATAGTAATACCTCTTAGCCCCTATTTACACGAATAAGCGCCGCGGCGCTTATTAAATCCCCCAAATGTGGCGCTTATTGTAGCGCGGCGCTTATTTGAGTAATTAATGTAATTTGCAACTTAAGAGTTTATTACATTCAGGACAAAACGTTATTAGATTTAGGACTTTATTACACTTCTATTAGGACAAAACGTTATTACATTTAGGGTCGTTCATTACATTTAGACCTTCTACAGGTGTTATTTCTCTGTTAGAGCACAACAAAGATTCCAAGCACTTATTGCAGGTATCTGCTGTCATATTAAGTAAACTGAGGTATTAACCATTGTTAAACTCAGCCGCTTCCAAAATTTTGCTAGGCCTGTTTTAGTCTTTCCTGAAAAGAGTGCACTCAACAGTTATCATGCTGTAAATCTACAAATACATAGACAATTATTCCTTTTACTAAATGGCATGAACACTGGTAATTGAAACCCCAGTACATTCTAAAGCGGAAATGCCATACGTAGTTATGAAATTTCTACCAGCTCAGTTTCCCTGAATTTGACGTAAATGTCTTCGAAGGAATTGTATCCTCCATTCAAAGATTTTCAATCTGACCAAATACAGAGAAGTTCTCGTAAAATATTTACTGCTCATTACGCATGCAGGAATGCCGTTTTGAATTTGGCACTAGTTACGAGAACGACTTACGGATTCATTTTCAAATAATCGGCAATTCATTAATAGAATCTTGTGCCGGGGTACGCTTGGCCTGCCTTGATTGTGAGATAACAGTTTCATGCGCCGTGAAGGCTATTTTATATCTACTTATACTTGCCTGCTTTTTCTGTTAACTTTTAGATCGATTTTAACTTTTCCCTGGATGGAGTTAGGGGGCAAAGTTAACATCAACTGGGCTAAGACAGGTTACAACGCTTCAATCACGTTTCACACCAAGCCGTTTTATGGCGGGAAACTTCACCGCGTCACGGGTGAAGCCAAGAACACTTCAACAGGACGGGTCATCTGTAAAGTTAATGGCGAGTGGAATGGAAAAATAGAAATCAGCTTCACAAGTCACCAGGTTTGTGTTTATTTCTGTTACGCTTAATAAAAGCCTCTTTTTCCAAACTGAAACCATACAGGTGACTGAGTGCTTTGACAAATTACCTACAAGTCTTTTATGTAAGAGGCTTGGGAAACACTGAATTTGTTATTTCTCCTTTAGGAAGAACCAAAAATCATTGACACTAGAGAACTTCCAGTTTTTCGGAAGAGAGTTTGTCCAGAATCAACTCAAGACGAGTGCGAGTCGCGACGCTTGTGACATAAAGTGACGCATGCACTTAAGAATGACGACATCGAGTCTGCAACGTCAGCAAAACACGAGGTGAGTTTTCACTAGCGTATCCCAGCGTCCTTTGGGGCTTGAGTATATTTGGCCAATCAACTTACTGAATTACGTACCTCCGATATTGAAATATAGACGACTAGAAAAATATGTACTTCTTTCCACACCTCAACTCTTTGTGGGATTCTGGGTATGACTGTAAAAGGCGCATACGAAACGCAGTTCCAAGTTGTGGAGGCTAATTTATACGTTAAGAGACGAGCTTAGTAATGAGATGGGTTGTTGAAATTCCAAAGCGCCCCTCATGTCTACTGCACACTTGCAAGGCACAGCCATCTCTTTTTCAGTCGTTGAACGTCTTCCCATGCTTGGCACCGGTTACTTTAAGCGAGGCGCGGTTTGGATAAATTCTTACGGAAGACCACCGCAGTCATGCAGATCTTTCAGCATCGCAAGAGGTTGTGACAAAGTAACATCGACCTACGGGAGGGTTTGTGCTCAGCAGTTTTCGTGAAAACAAGGGTTTGTGGGGCTTGCTCAGACTCGTGGGCTCACAAAACCTCCCTTAGGTCGATATAGCATGAGAGTGGGGGAAGGGGGATCAAGGGGGTCCGAAACTCCCGCCTTCCATACCTTGCATTTCCGGCTCCCGCCCTTTTTTCCTTGACTTCCTCCTTTTAGCCAACTTCTCTCCCGCCTCCCATACCCCTCCCGTCCCCTATTCGCCCGGTCTTTCTGTCCCGTGTCCTCCCCTGCATGACAAGTGTTTTCATATCAGTTCTTAATCGCCTAAACACATTTGGACGACTATATGGAAACTAAGCTTTACGTGACATCCGTTTTTTGGGTCGATTGTTATGGATATAAAATGCAAGTAAATAATGATCAATTCGCTCTGCAAAAGAATCCCTTGTACTGTTCTGGGAATTCCGTCGTCTGGAACACAACACAGAGTGTAAATTCTTTTTAATGGTCTTTTCATTGGTTAATTAATAGGAAAAACATGCACATGTATGCCTTGTCCGATGTAACACAAAAAGAAAGTATGATGCCTCTTTTGGGACTTGTAACGGGCTTGTAACTAAACACTATACATGTAATTAGGTGAAAAACGAACGTGTTATGCGAACGCTGATGAGTAGACAGTTGCAAGACATTCCCTGAAAACGTTTCGGTGGTGTAATATTCGCTTGACTAATCGGACGTTCATAGGCGGAACTCCTGGAGGTCGGATGAACACTCGAAATCCAGTTCTTTTGTTCAAAACGTCCTATGCCACTTACTCGCTGCACGACTAATTCTGTGGAGGAGTATGTCGTGTGGTGTCTAAATTCAATGATTTGCTAGGAACCCAAGACACAAAAGTATGCCAAGACACTCAAGCAACCCAAGACACAAAAGTAAGCCAAGTACCTCAGGAACGCCAAGTAACTGAAGTAGGCTAAGACACTGCAGCAATCGAAGACACAAAAGTAAGTCAAGTACCTCAAGAACGCCAAGTAACTGAAGTAGGCTAAGACACTGCAGCAATCGAAGACACAAAAGTAAGTCAAGTACCTCAAGAACGCCAAGTAACTGAAGTAGGCCAAGACACTGAAGCAATCGAAGACACAAAAGTAAGTCAAGTACCTCAAGAACGCCAAGTAGCTGAAGTAGGCCAAGACACTCAAGCAACCCAAGACACAAAAGTAAGCCAAGTACCTTAAGTACGCCAAGTAACTGAAGTATGCCAAGACACTGAAGCAATCGAAGACACAAAAGTAAGTCAAGTACCTCAAGAACGCCAAGTAACTGAAGTAGGCCAAGACACAAAAGGAAGGCAAGACCCAAGATTCAAAGATTCAAAATGTTTACCGCAAATAAACAAAAAACGTCACCAGTGGCAAACCACGACAGAAACATAAACACAAAATCCAATTAGTCGCTGGCCAATACCTTCGTATGTATCTGTTTTTATAAAACTTACTTGGGGTCTTACACAGAGCCGGCTGGCCATTTGGTCCATTATTCTCACTTGATTTGGTCCCATATAGGAACAAAAGGAGTACTCATTCCATCTTAAAACAATTTTTCTATTTGGAGTCCTCTAAAGCAAATACCCTGGGATTAGTAAAAAATTCTCCTTCCCTACGTATATACAACTCGTAAGACCTTGCAATTCTTCCGAGCGTGTTCAGGATTACGTTTTTTTCCACAAAATGGAAAGGATGGAATAAACCATCCATTACTACATGAGTTACCCTATTTAAGGATCAAACCAAAGACACAAGGGCAACAAGGTAAAAAAATGATACCCTATTAAAGGCTCGAGATCCACAAAAAGCATACCCTATCAAGCGGTACTTACCTATCTAACCCATCCATATATGGGATTATTCCCCCCCCCCCTCCCCGAAGACTTCACGTGTCACGTGGCAAGCAAACATGGATTTCGGCGACGAATGCCGGGTTATTCATAAATTTTCTGTTGTTAAATGTTGCTTTTGTTATTTAAATATTTTTAGATTTGAACATGATTCATATCTTTTTGGTGATATGTCACAAGAAGTTTCAGGTCTTTCATAAAAGCGATTCTAGTTGGTCTCGTGATTAATCAAGGCAGAATAATTCATAGCGGAAGATATGCATGTTTGACCAAACAAAATGTTACGGAGATGTTACGTGCTAGCAGACGTCATCATCTTTCTTTACGAAGTACCTTGCATATTTTGGCATTACATTAATGTTGACGAAGTAAGTCCAATCACCCTCAAAAAATTATTACAAAGTGCGATGGAATTATTACAAATTGCGACAGCTTAGTTTATTACAAAGTACGATGGACTGTTATTACAAATTGCGACAGCGTTTTTATTACAAATTGCGACAGTACAGGGTCACGTTTTTGTGACGTCATCTGTGCGCAGCGCTATTTAACCTATTGGCCTCTCAAAGTTGATTGATTGTTTGTTGCTTTTAATTTTTTATTTAAAACAGCCAAGGAATGTCAATTTCATGTTATTGGTAAAAAATAGATGTTGTCTCTTGCCTCTTATCATTTTTCTTCATTATTTGAAAATTATAACTATTTTAATGATTCATAACAGTTTTTTGAAACACTCATAAACGATGGCTTTTTTTTGAAATCATTCACAGATGGCTTTTAATACATGAGAGTACACAGAGACTTTTTACTGGAAGTACAATCCCACGCAGGGATGTTTTCTCCGTGAGCAGCTAATCCGACTTAATCCCATTTAATATGTCGCGCTTCTCGTAGCTTGCGTGGCAGGCGTTTGAAAGGTAAGGGAAAGGGGGTTTTGGGCGCGAGGGAAAAGCGACCGTCGCGTTTCTCTCGCACCTAAAACTCCCTTTCCCTTCCCTTTTAAACGCCTGCCACGCAGGCTACGCTTCTCGAAAGTGCGAAAATTTTCTTGTCGTGTATTAGATTTCAGATACATTTTCTTAATCTTCATTTCGCGCCAGAATAAATTAGTTTGCGCGCAAAGGGCTTCTAAAAAAACCACAAGGTTTGTCCCACTTCGAGTCCATTTTCTGGAAATGCGCCGGATTGGTAGCTGGAATACATTGCCGAGGCGAAGATCTGGCTTTTTTTCCTCCTCGTCGTATTTTCTCCATGACAAATGTTTATATTTGTAGCGAGAATGCAGCACATCTGTCGATGGATTTTACTTTAAGAGTGCCAGATTTCATCGTTCTGTTCATGTTTACTAGTGTTGGCATTAACGTAAGGTAAAATAATTAGTATGGTGCACTACAGTGTAAATCAGGCCATTAATGACAAAAAAAGTGTCATTAAAATACAAAATTCTATGTTTATTCTAAGTGTGACATCAACAATACATACACAAGTCATCTCGAATATATGTACTGTACATACACGTGGTACTGTATCTCCTACTCAGGCTGGAATCAGGATGTTCCAAATTTCACCATTGAAATTGAACAACAAATTTTAAGGGTTTCATCCTACATGTATTTAGTTTGGACAAGCTTCAATGAAATGAAAAAGGCTTATTTTCAAGATCAATGCAGATTTTTATTTTAGCTACAGTGATAGCAAATGAGCAGTACACAAATCATCTATTAGTGTAAACTAAAGATGTTGTATTACAAAACAAAAAAAATTTAAATCTTATCTTTGGCCTCAGCTTTTGCTTCAACCATCCTATCCATCTTGTAAGTACAATAATTGAAATGCAGCAACATCTAAACAAAGTAAACAACAGAATACATGTCAAGATTACATTTAGAGTATTTGATCCATCCTTAAATAATAAAACAACATTAATGTAATGATGCAAACCACACAAAAGGATTCATATTTTAAAATAATTGATTCATTAATGAAATATATGGGGGTATGGAAACCGGTCATTTTGATTCAAAGTCATTTTGATACGAACTCAAGCAGTGAAATTTTGCAAAAAGTTTGCATTTGAACAAGAGAAACATTTTGGGTTTTTCATTCGTTAAGTCAAGTATGTGAAACTATTTACCGGTACATGCATAGACTTAAATTATTTGATAATTGAATAAACCGTAACCGATGTTGTTGTTGGTACGCCTCGAAGGAACGAAACTGTATCGAAACAACTTGCATATGAAAGGACTTTGTGTCAAAACAGCCAGTAACCATATGATGGGGGTATGCCTACCCAGGCATAATGCTAAGGAAAAGATAAGCAGGCCTTTTTAGTAGTCGAGCTCACTTTTTTACTCGACTGCATCAAGGGTTCCCAAAGACGGTTTCCTCCTAAATGCACTGAAAACACTTTTTAGGCTATCCAGAACACTTTTAGATCTCTAGAGATGTATGCTAAGTGACGCTAAAAAATTTTGATCTGTTCAGTCATGCTAGGGCAATTTGAATCTTTCCGAAATTATAAGGGCCTCATTATTATTCTCCTGAAAATTTTAGCTGCAACTTAAAGTTTTACGAAAGTAAGAATTTTTGATTCCTCTCTGCATCGCATTTTTGATGTCAAAAATTTTAGGTTTCCTTTCTAGCTCTTTCTCTACGAAAAACAGCTTAACCTGGGGAGTGAAATGGGAAAAATCAAAGTTCAGAAAATCTTAGGGAATTTATTAGATAAGCTTCAAAAATTGTGCATTAACGGTCCTCGAGACATCCCTGCTTACCCTGGCATGATTGTAATCAATCTGTTTTAATACATAGTATTTACAAATTATTTTCCATGACTGTTGTCAGGTTTGTTGAAATGAATTTTGAACAGTTCCATCAACAGAGCCAACCATATGCATTTAGGGTCCCGGAAAAATTTAGTACACTATAACACAACTTTTCTACCTTAGGTAAGCCAGCTACAGTGGTGTAACTGAAAGATCAACTTCTTCCCCTATTTAAAGAAAGAATTCCCTACTTTGAGGGAAAATAATATGCTCTAGTACTCATTGATTAGAACATGGGACTATTGAACAATTTCAAGGTTAGAATAGTGAGACTTCCTGTGACAAACACTACTTTCAGTTTGGTCACATGCACATCCGAAGTCTAAACAATACGTCTTTCATTTATGTTCTGGTCAAGGTTCTGACCCTCATTGCTTTTTCCCAGTGAATCCGTTCGTGGACGAGTCTGATTTGTCGTTTGAAAAAAAAATATCTTCATGCCCACCAAACATAAAAAGTAAAAGTGAATGGCTAAAAATAAACTAACAGAGACCACGCACAACCAAGACCAAGCCTATATATATTTCTTACATCAACTGCAATCGTGGCAAGGTCTGACTGTGCCCCGGTACACAACAACGAAAATATGATTATTTCGCTTTACTAGCAAGTAATCTACCATAAAAAGTGCTACTTAAGAATGATTAAAAACAGAACTCACCTAAAATCGTTTCCCGAATCCAACCGGATGATCTGATATCAGCGGTGCGAAGTTTTCGAGAAGAAGCGATTGATTGTGCTGCCTAACAGTCGAGCAACAAATAACGTTTCTTAAACTTTGGCGCAAGATTGAGATACGGAGGAGATAATCCAGCAAATTATTTGTTACAAATGCAAATTGTTACTTTCTTCTAGCCCTCGCTTCTCAGTATTTTAAGCTAGATAGCTAAAATTCAATCTCACAAAACCCTTTTAGTGCAAAAAGTCGATTTAGCATAGTCATTTATACAAGTATACACATTTGCACTGATTGGTATTTCCGTATCTATATACCGCAGTTGTGATCCACCATGTCCATCAAGTTGTACACCGAACCCTCAAGCACATTGCACCAGGAGTTTGCAGATTCAGAAATGAATCTGCAAAGTGACGTTCTTTTCAAACGAGCGGTCGTTACAGCAGGAACCTGGATCTTATACACTTATCCAAACTTCAATGACAAAGAATCTGGTGGCAGCCGATCAAATTACAAGATATTACAGCTAGGAGCAGATGAAGATATAACTGGCGTCAATGGCTCCATGTACCTGGTGAAGGACCAGACAGAAGGAATTATTTTGTTTAAACACGTCTTCTACGGTGGAGAGAGGAAGGTAATGCATTAGGAATATAATAAATAACCTTATCAACTGCTATCAATAGCAAACACTTCAACTGTGAAAACCTATGGTCTCTTTGTTACTCTTCGCGATTTCTAATATAAAGAGAGCACAAATAGCTCAAACCTCACTGGCCTCCCATCTGGGGACAGTAACTAATACTTAAGGACGTGAGACAGCAAAGAGTGTGTTTTTTTCTTTAGTTCGTGGTCAGGATAAAAAATTTTCGATGCCTTTTGTATTGAACTGGACTTGTTTTGTGAATTCTGATCTAGAATCATTAGTTTTAAAAGTAACTAGTTGAATAAATGAATAATCTTGCAATTCAATGTTCTTCTTAGACGTAAAATTGCATATAAACTAATATAGTACAACATAACTTTTTTTGACTTGGTTATTTCCGCTCAGACATGCAATTTTTGAAGACAGTGTGTTCTGAAACAAATGCTGATTCGGCCCAGCTGAGATCTGTAAAAGTGATCAGATTTTAGTTAGGATCAATGGCCTGAAATCTGGTGTGGAAATTTCTGCGTTTTGGTCTGAATGATGGCGGTCCGGAGTAATTCGCGGGTTCTCAGAGGCGCGGTACGAACTCCCACTTAAAGGTTGTCTGTTACACCCTCCATCCACTTCGGGAACCAGCTTATATTTTACAACGGACATATCGAACCAACTTGGTGAATTCCATCTCGGTTCATTAGAAATAATGTGTTAGCTTGTTTACACGTGTTATATTTAACAGAAGTCTAATTGATGCTAATCCAAACCTGACGGTTGTCTTTACCTATGACCTTAAATCTGAGTGCTATGTTTTTGTGATCATTTCTTGAAGTGGTTTGAAGAAAGTTGCGCAGATGTGAACAGTCTTTTCGAAAGTGGAACAGATGGAGGCGTCTCCTCAGTCATCGTGTTATCTAAGAACCAGTCCTTTGACATCTTCACCAAAATCAACTATAAAGGTCTGCAAACTGCTCTGAAACCAGGAATGTGGTGTGACACTCCACAAGCCATGGGATTCCCCAACGACAAGATGCAGAGCTTCCGCATGATTTGAAAAACCCAGCCTGCCGGACCAACCAGCTTACGTCCAGTTTTGCTCGAGTTTTCTCAGTTTAGTCTTGAAGCTTCGTGCTGTTTGATTGTAAGCCGAGGCGGAATAAATTCCGTTTAGAATATTCAGTTTTTGTTGTTTTTAAATGTTGTCAAAAGCAAAAGGGCGAATAAAATAAAAGGGAATTGTTTCCTTTATCGAGCAGTTTGTCTTTATATACTTGTACGTCGGGGAAATTGGATGCGTGACATCCCCCAGCAGCACCGTTTTTAGTGTCTTAACCCTAACCCTAACCCAAGCCAGTTCTAGTCTCACTAGCTATGTCAATAAAAGCAGGTGCTTCAGCAAAGCTTCACAATTCTGGCAAGACAACGGAAGAATCTTTTTTTTTTACCTGAAAAGGGAGGGCCGTTGCCGTAGAAGGGAAAGGGGATACTTGCCACACCTTCTACTCGGTTCCGACATAAATTTTGCCGCAGACAGCCCTGGTTCTATAAATAAATTCTGAATCCCATTTTTTTATATGTAGAAATGAAACCGACTCACCGAGTTTTTTTTTTCCTTACTGTCTGTTCGTTTCAAGGCCATTTGAATGAGTTGTAATGTTTGAGTTGAACTAACAATAAGAGATACGTTAGGGTCTATATGATAACAATTTCATGGCAAGTGCAACGAACCTATACACTCTTGGCTGCCTGTAATTTTGCCAGCTCCTTTTTTTTGGCAGTTGCTGTTTGTTTATCTTATAGACACTTCATGATCTTGGGTACGTGCTATGATTCGTCGCTAAATAATAAATGACAACAAGAGCCATGGCTCTTGATGACGAAGATAAACATCTTAAGAAGGTTAAGATAATGACACTTTATCCAGTGGAATAAAAGATTATGGTATGGACCCATTTCACCAGCTCGGTCATAATTCTTTAAATTTTCATGAAGAATTTCATGTTTCATGTCACACTATGTGCTATCTTTTTAAAAAACAAAAACGTTTTACGCATTTATACCACTACATAAAAAATTTCTGCGATTTGATTGGCTTAGAGGAGTGGTATTTCAGCTTAATTTGAAATACCTACATGTGAAAATTACAAACCTTTTGCGGGTAGCAGTATAAACAAATAATAGCATGATTTGTACGTGATATTTGGCATAAATACCACTCGTGATATTTCAAAATTGTCTAAAATTTCACTCGCCCGACGGCTCGTGAAATTACGTATAACAATTTTGAAATATCACTCGTGGTATTTATCCCAAATATCACTACTAATCATGCTATTACCTATACAAATTGAATTCAAGAAAAAATGGTCCAGTTATTTGTTTCAAGCTATATTTAGGCACTGAAGCTAAATTTCCCACCGTCTATTGCAAGAGATGGCAATGGTGGACATGAATCGAAACTTGCCAAGATTGGCCGAATTTTTCATCCCTGGTGTTTTAATTATGCTATGCCTGTAAAAATCACAAAAAAAAAAACACTCATCATCGTTAGAGATGAAATCTTCAGGAGCATTTTGTGCTTGGGACGTGCAGTCAGTCTGTAACACACAAAAAAAGAAATTTCCAGTGCTCACTCGACCTTCAGGAGTTCAACCTATTACCTTCGTATTCGTGAAACGAATGCTCTATCACCCACCTGTATTGTTTGTGTAAGCAACTTTTTCATTGAACTTCTTGCAAGTGATAGCATGACAGTAACAAGTTCGTTTTTTTGGCTGAAGATTAAGTGATGTAGCCTAACTGTATGTATAATGTTTTAATGCCTAACTGGGAATTACTTCCTACTTCATGATGTTACAGTAGACAGAATATTATTACAATATATATTATATCTATATTACGACAGAATAGCCCAGTATAGAGGAGTCGTAATAAAGTGTATGTTATGTTATGTCATAAGGCATACGTGCTGCTCCTATTTGTTAAACAGAGATAAGAAACTTGAAGCGGAGATTTTTAATTCTATGTCTTGTTCAAGACGAAGGATTTCCCAGAATAGAACAAGTCCTACAAAGTTAAAATATCAAAAATGCTGAGGCAGATCTTAACAAAGACGCGTTCAGGAATGCTATAGTGTTGGAGCTGGTAAAGAAAGAAAGACAGAAAGAAAGAAAGAAAGGAAGAAATAATAAAGAAAGATAGCTTCACGAAAAGGGGCTGTAAAGGGGGTTGAAGGTCCCTCGCGCGAATGATAACTACTAAATATAACATAACGAATTACGGTAATTAATATTCCCATTTCCCACGTAATGGCGCGAATCATTTGATTTTACAACAGGAATGTCCGTTTTTCCCATGTAAATCGTAGGTCTCCCTTCAGCCTAACCGTGGGAGATATGGGTATAAGATTACAACAAAGGCGGCGACTGCTTGAATACCTCCGCCCCAACTGGTTCACAAATTAAAAATCTCCTTAAACGTTCAAAAAGCGTTTTCTGATCGTTTTAAAACAGTTACAAGTCATAATCAGTTCAGGAGAAATCCATCATAACCGTATGCCACCTTACCCTTTTTATTTATTTATATTTTTTAATTCTGCGCATTTTAACAAAGCAAGAATTTGATTGCAAAAACATTCAGGTTCTAGTTCGCTTATTTTGTTTGAAATATAACGACATCATTTCAAAACATACAATATAGAAAGCATGAAAGAGCACGAAAATTAAAGCACGTTTTCTTCATTTATTCTCAGGGCTTTCTTATTTTTCTACTATTAAATATTGGCGATTTCTTTTTATTGATATTATAGTTCGTGTACTGGGCACGATGAACGCAGTTCTGCCAGCTTCAATGTGACATTCCTACAATAATGATAACAATAATAATAATAATATATTCAAGTGTCAGTTACTTTAGCTATATAAGCTACTTGAGGACACTATGAAATAAAATGATATATACGTACAGCAATACAGTCAACTCTCTCTAAGACGGACACCTTTGGGACTGGCACTAAGTGTTCGTCTTAAAGAGGTGTCCGTCTTGTAAAGAGTCAAATAAAAGGAGTAAAGAAAGGCAGGGACCAACTCTAAGTGTCCGTTTTACAGAGGTGTCCGTCTTATAGAGGTGTCCGTTAAGAGACAGTCGACTGTAGACTAAAATACTAAGAGTTAAAAATTTATATATACAAAGCAAGAAAGATTTAAGAGCTACTTAATAAGGTGCATTCCGACCCACATTTGTCTTCAGTTAAGTGACCGGCTAAATCAGTTTTTCTAATTTTCCAGTTGAAATTCGTCAATTTCGGTTAACGTTCTTAAGGCTATTGCATGTGGTAATTTACGCCATAGATACGGACCAAGATATTTTTATATGTTAAGTCTTTCATCTGACAAGACAAAGGAAAGAGTTCGCTCTTTCAGCGTGTCGTCAACGCCTGGGCTGCAAACATACTCTGACGATCTATGAACGTAGGGGACACTTAAATATCGCTCAGTTGTTTCGGCGGATTCAGCAGACGTTTCTTCATCACTCGGCTTAACCAACTATTTCATGTGATTATTATGCAACAACTTTATTCTCTTTAAGTGCTTCATCGTAGATTATTCCTGACTACTGAAGTCTACCGCAGTATTCGAAATGGAATACTTTAACCAACTATTATAAACGCCGGTTAATTAACTAGTACTTTATAGCGTATTGAAAGGTAAATTACCTGGTAGGAAAATCTGTGTCATTTCAGTCTGTAAAAAGACCGAAAAGGGCTTACAGACGCACTTTATATTAGGGATGTGAAAGAGAAAAGAAAACTTTCCGGTTTTGTGATTTATTAATATAAAAAATTAGTATAAGTAATAGCATGATTTGTAGTGATATTTGGGATAAATACCACGAGTGATATTTCGAAATTGTTATACGTAATTTCACGAGCAGTTAGGCGGGTGAAATTTGAGACAATTTTGAAAATCACGTACAAATCGTGCTATTATTTGTTTATACTACTACCCACAAAAGGTTTGTAATTTTCACATGTAGATATTTCAAATTAAGCTGAAATACCACTGCTCTAAGCCAATCAAATTGCAGAAATTTCTCATGTAGTAGTATAAAGACAGTACATTTACCAGTAGTTAACTCTGCAAGACATCAACACGACACCGAAAGAACTCAAAACAGAGCGGAATTGTAGCGATAGACAGCTTTTTCGCCCTTTTTGGGGCTCGTCAGTATGACGTAACAACCACAGAAAGCTCTGATGAAAATTATCCGGGCACTCTGATTTAAGCCCTAACCTACTGTAGAACTCTCAACACCCACAGAATCACGCCATGCCACGTGTCTTCTTGGAGGCAAGAGTCCGTTGCCAAGTTGATGTCTCGCAGAGAAAATAAAGAATTGGCCAAAACCAACCTCTAAAACATGGACAGAACCATGCAAGAATTACGGCATATCGGATCTATATAAAAGATCTACGGCCCCAAAATACATAAGAAAAGAATTTGCTTTACGTGTCTATTAATTAATCACTCAAATTTTCCTGGTTCCGTCCTGAAGGTTTCGAAGTGGAAGTGTCAAAGAATGCCTTGTTCAGACTCGTTGCGCACGTTTTCTTGTATTTTAATATTTGAAAACACAACTTGACTCGCACTTGGTCACTATAGAGTCTACAAAAACAACAGGTTAAATATAATAAAGGGTGAATTGACTTTTATGCACAATGATTGCGCGGTCGATTAGAGGTCGTAAGTTCAAACCTCACTGAGGTAAAAACACTGTCTATTTTATCTTATTTCCCTTTCTACAAGAACTTACTGGTGTTCAGAAGGATTTATATAGTATCTGATAATTTTTCCATTTCTCTTTTACAGTAACAGAGCGATTTCTCGCGGGGGAGTTGATCGAGCGCTATTGTCGCAATTCTTTTCCTCTTTCTCTTACGCGCGATTTTCGGAGAAACTTGAGCTGAAATGAACGTCAACAACCGTCAGTGTTATTACCGGGGCCTAGCCGAAGGCTGGCACCGGTCATAAAATGCAACGCGTTTCTGTCTTTTCA